GAACTGGTTTATTTAAGAGTTCTTGTAGAGTCCAGAATCTAAAAGCTTACCTACAACTTCCTGTTACACTTCCCTGGAAAAAGTCATAGAAAAGGGTAGTCTGACTGGCGGGAATATGAAGAGGTCTTCCTGAGGATAATTTCCTAAACATTTACTTTGTGGTGCAGAATATAAAATGATTAGGAGTCCTGGCTAATGTAAGAGAGCTATATGTTGTAAAACTATGACTATTAATTACTGATATTCCTTATTATGGGGTATTTGGTTTTAAAGAGGTGACGGCAATGGGGTTCCAGTGCCTTTCTAGGTGATCTTTGGGGCCGAGCTTTTGCTTTCTGGTGGAGGGATGTTAGCATGTTCCTCCACTGACTCGCCAGGAGCAGTAATGATACAGAAGGTTATTTTTAACATAAGAAGACTGTTTGGAAACAAAATGGGAATTGTTCAGCTTGCTGAGAGGGCTCTTCTACAAAGTGCCGGGTGAATGGTACAGCACTTTCCCGTCATTGTGTGGGCCATGGATGGCCCTTGGAAAGGATGTTCCTTTATTCGCTTTTCTCATTAGTAAGACTACATAAAATATAGAAGATTAAGTATCTGGAGGAAGAAAAAATACAAAGGGTCAAAGGGCCGAGGAAAGGCTTTTGTCTAATAAAAGTTTTAAAATCAGTGTTTGGGGCTTTGTAAGCAAATAAGTGAGCTTTAAGCGCCCTCCTCAGGCCAAATCTCCACATTACGTTTTCTTAGACGAAGGAAACGTCCTAGGCTTTCCCTCACCTGAGCCTGCTGAGGGAGGCAGGGCGCAGGTTTGGTGCTGGGATTATTTCATGAACCTCAGTGCTTGGTTCAAGGTTCTCGCTCCACGTGGAAAGGTTTGCATTCCAGGACACGGGCCTAGTCAGACACTGACAATAACATATTTGTGGAGTATAACCTTCCCTTCCCCAATGGCTAAATGATTTTTCCAAAATAAAATGTAAGAGAATTTAAAAAGCACTGCAGATTATACTGTATGTGCTTGGATGATTTGATTTTCAGTGTCAGTATGTCTAGCTGTAGCTTTAATTTATCCAAATTCCCTAAATTCCATTACTTCCTCTTTAAAATGCGGTTATGCTCATACCTACATCCTAAGGCTCGCGTGGTGGTTGCCTGAGATAATGAGGGCCAAGCCCACAGAAGAGTGGTGCCGACTAAGATCGCTCTAAGTGACAGCTGCGCGTGGGGAGCACGTCTCCGCCTCCAGGTGTCCATCCCGACTGAGGGCTTCCTCTCCATTGCCCTCGCTCATGCCTGTCCCTACCTCCTTATACATTCTGCTGGTGTGGATTGGCTTATCACATTGATGACTTTGCAAGCAGATTCTGAAAATTCTTTGTCCAACCCATTCTTCCTATTTTTTTTTGGAAGTGAATTTACCCTTAGAAATCCTGTATTTTATGCTGTTCTGACCTATCCAGTAAGCTTAATGATAAATGTCTACAGCGGACAATCTGTTAGAAGGCAACCATGTTCCCTATGTCAGCTCAGTCTCTAATAAAAGTGTGTGTGTGTGTGTGTGTGTGTGTGTGTGTGTGTGTGTGTGTGTAGGTGTAAGTGTGTATAGCAGTGTGTGTGTGCTTTAGTCTCTGTCTTAATCTTTTGTCTTAATTTTCAGTTAGTTCAGAACTCAGGGGAGGGAAAGTGCTCATTAATGGGATCCCTCAAGCACCAAAACAGCAGCCATGTAATCATCATTGGAAAGAAAAACACTAGTTGAGGTTAGTTTTGGAGAGAAGTGATAGTAGTTTGAGTTGACTTTCCCAACGGGAATAAACCATATTGTCTTCTCAAGGCCATTTTGTGAATGGAGTATGTCTACTTGGCTTCTACAAATGTACCTACCACCAGTCGTAGCAAGAAGCTCTGGAGTAACATTCAGATTTCCCCACCCCCCGGTGGAAGCATGAATCTGAAGACACAAGTTTAAACCTTTATTACTTCTTCAGACACTTACTTCCAATTTACCACACTGGAGGGATATGCTGTATAGAAGCTAATTACAGGCTTGTTTTCAAATCTCTGCTCTGCCTCTTAGTAGCTGTGAGATTTTTGGGAAATTACTCCCACTCATTCTTTCGGTTTACTCATTTGTAGATTGGGAGTAGTAACTACTTTATCTGGTTGTTGTGAAGATTAAATAAGTTCTTAACTGTATAGCATTTGTTGTATACCTAGCAGAGAAAGAAAGCATGCTATTTTTAAAAATTATCTACCAGACACCATGTTCATGGTAAATAAAATGGTGAACAAAGTGGACACTGGAAGTTTCATTTTAGGACTGAGTTACGTGGTTCTGTCTAAATCAGTTTCCATTGCTTACTATTTTAATTCACTGTGTACCCCCAAAGTGAAGTACAAGGAATGACTAAAATCAATACTTGATACAAGGTTAACATCATTTAAACTACATTTCAGTAGCATTTTATTTTTCATAAAGTGAATCAAACCATTTTTGCTCTAAGAGCACTCTACAAACTATCGAGGCTGCATAAGCTTATTTTCTGGTTCTAAAACTAAGACTTACTCTATGATTTTCTGAGATGTTTTAGATATTTAAAAATACTGGTTATTTTAAATGAAGAAAATTTTTCAAAAAAAAATATTTTAAACAGAATGGTTGCAAGGCCCAAACTTCTTTCTGTGCAGCACCAAGGACATTTACACAGGATCCAGCTTGAAGTTGCTCCCTCTTGAAGAAGGGCAATGTGTTTCAAAACCAGGAGACATCTCATGACAGTGGTGCCAATTAATGTGTCAGTCTTCTAAACAGTCTTGACAACCATTCCTATCAGAAGTGGGAAGAAAAAAAAGAAAAGCAGAAGGTCTTTGAAACTGCTGAACATTGATTTAAAACCCAGAATAGGAATTAGAGGATCAGTTTCATTCCCACAGGAAACATCTGGTCATTATTGCTCAAGCAAGGGAAAGACGTTGACCAAATGAGTGTGAATCACTCGTTACTCATAAAGTGGTGGCTGCATGTTTTAAGCTGGGAGTCAGAGTCTGGGAAGCCACTGCGGCCTGCTGAGCTGGACACAGGGATAGTTTATGGATTATTAGGAGGAGGATTTCCATTGTGAGAAACACTGACAAGCCATTATCAGCCTTGGCTGTTACCTGTCCCATTCACAACACATGATGGCTGAGTGCAAAGGGTGGTAGGAGGGAACAGAGTACTTGCAAATATACTATATTTGAATAATGCTTGATAGTTTTACAGTCATGCTTTTCATTATGAGAGCAATAAAAAAAAAACCACAGAAGAGAAGTAAACAAAGCCTTCCCTACTCATCTTTCTAACACCTAATTGAATCATTTGGATTATGTTTTCTGGCCTTTTTTCATGTTAAAAAGTCTATGTAAAGTTTTGTCTTCCTGTTTTATACTTTATAATGGACCAACAACCAGTCTTTTCAACGGTTGTGCTATTTCCTTGAATGGATATTCTGTTGTGAAATTATATGCTCTTATTGTCGGACAAGGGCTCTTTTTAATTTTTTGCCATTAGAAATGGTAGTGTACTGGACAATTTTTTACATATGTCTACTTTAATATTTTGGATTATTATCCGTACTGATTCCCAGAAGAAAAATTACTGAGTCAGTGTGTGAGCATTTTTATGACTTTTGTTAAAAATTACTTTTACTCATCTACCAGCAAAATATGAGAAAATGAGTAGTATTCTAATATCAACTGTCTCCAAGGAAAAAGATGTTACCATTGAATAAATATTATCAATTTAATAAGGCAAACGTTAATATTTCTTTGTTTAATTTTGCATTTTTAATTTTCTCTATATTCTGGGTATTTTCTTTTCCCTGATTGGCTGTTGGACTCCTAGTATTTTCCATATCATTTTGGGTATATTTTTCCCAGGTAAAGATATGGGCCATACTGCAAATAAGTCTTGCAAATAATTTGTCAGGGTGTATTGTTAGCCTTAAAATCTATTTTTAAATATGGTCTTTGTCATAGGAAGTGGCATGCAAGAGTTAATATTTTTTAAATGGAAATAATATGATTTATCTGAAGGTCATTTTTTTTAACACAGTGATATGGTTTACATAACATGGAGTCATATAAAACACGTACCCACAAATATTTCCCCATAGACACCACATTTCCTACAACCAACAGCCAGACTGGTCTACTCATACCAATTGTTCGCTGAAAGTCTTGCTCCTTTGTCTCCTCTGTTCCGGACTCCCTCTTCCTTTCTCCACAAAGATTTTGTTTATGCTTAGTAGTCAGCTGTCCCACCCCCTACCCCACCTCCACCCCTGTCTTTTTATTAAGCTGTTTCTCTTTTGAATTTCTTTAGCTTCAGTTGGTGCTATCCACAGTGTATCTTATATTGTTACCAAATTGCCTTTGATGTGCTTTGTCTCCTTAACCAGAGCGTGAACTCTTGAGAATTCAAGCCATAACTTAATTGCCTGTGTCTATCTTCCACAGCACATGGCAGCCTAAAAAATAACCTGACAAATTGGGAGCAGCCGATGTTGCATGTGAAAATTAAGTAGCCGCGTATAGAGGAAATCATGAGTCTTAAGGTTTTCGGAAATCTACATAAAGGAATCTTATAGTTCATTTTCCAAATTAGAATTTGGAAAGAGTGTCATAAGAAGAATCAGCTTGCCAGTGGAAAGTAATCGTACTGTGAATACTGGCCAGTGGAAGGTGTGTAATTCACACTATCACACAAAGGCAGATGAACTTTGGGCTTCAGTTTGTATCTCCAAGGAACAGGTGTGCTCCTGATGGTGCTGAGCAAACTGAGACAGCTTACCAGTTTTTCATTTAGATTCATTCTAGGTATTCCCATAGATTTCCATCTTCTCCCTGACATTATGAAGTAATTGTGTAGGCTGTTGAATCTAGAAGTTGAGATAGGAGATAGGAGTCAAATTCTGAGACTGTTAATAATGGCCAGATTTATAAAGCAGAGCTGGTATCATCTAGTCTAGAGCAGGGGACCGACCACTGGGACTTCTGACAGTGGCAGTACTCTGTACTCTGTCCGGGGAACCAAAACACTTTGTAAAAAAAGGTGTCTACTAAATAACACAATTTGACAGTCTTCTCTGTATGACCCGCTAGCTGCTGTTTCTACCATTTAATAGACTCTCACTTGCACAATTGTTCCTCTGTATTAACAACCTCAGGCAACTTTTTTTAGTTATGATAAAACTTCACTTTGGGGGAGTATGTTCAGGGAGAGCATTAGCTTCCCTGGTTCTTCGTCCATTCCCCAAAATATGCTCTTAAGTGGAATCCTACCTGCTTGTCAGCCTGCCAGGCATAAGGAAAAAGACAGCTCATCAGAGGGCTCTAGAAGCCATCTAATATTTTATCTTAAATGTCTTCCTCATGTCTTTTTTTTTAAATTGTTATTTCCCAGCTTTCAGCGCCAGCTGTGTCTGGGAGAATTAGAGGTGACTATATCCATATCTTTTAGAAAATTAATATGGCAAGAGCAAAATAAGTTTGAAGAAGTAGGTTACAATGTCAAGACAGGGTTAGTAGAGAATAATAGAAATTATGTGAATGGATGACTTGTTATATGCCAAACACTAGGCAGTGTACTCCCATATCTGTAACTCCACAGCAGCATTAGATGAAGTAGGCACTGGTATTATCCCTATTTTATAGATGGAGAAAGTGATTTTAGGCAGGTTGAGAGATTTGTCCAAGGTCACATGGCTAATAAGTGACGGACCCAGGGAATGCACACCAGGGCATCTCATGCCGAAGCCCATGCCCTCAGCCCCTGTGCTACTGGGTCAGGAGTTCCGGGCAGCAAGCCACAACCAGGGACGGTTTGGGGAAAAGCTTCCCCAGGAAGACTCCAAAATAGTTAGGAAGGCAGTGAACTTTCTGCTTTTATGCAGGGTGGGAACTTGAGTATTACAAAGAATGTTGGCCTCTTGAAGGCCAGAGAACTTGGACACATTTGAGTTGAAGACAGACATAAGAAAAACACCTTCACCTTCCCCCATAGAACCTGTGATCACCTTTCACTAAATACACACATCTGAAGAGAGATTCAAGGGAGAAGGAGTGTGTGTTCTCAGAGTTTATGCCTCATAAGAAGGGGCAAACTGTCATCAGAATGGAAGCTTCCAGATGCATAGCAATGAATCCTTCAGACCAAAGTTTCAGCATCAGGTGGAGAAATGGAAGGGACTTATAAACACTATAACTGTAGCCACCATTAAGCCCAGTTATGAAGGCGATTCAAGAAAAATATTGTGGTATCCACTGAACTTTGTTTTTCTTTGTAATTTCCCTAATATTTATCTAAAAATATAAATATAATTTCCATTGTACCTTGGACTAAGAAGAAGTATTCAGATCAAAATCTACAAAATGATTAGCAGGTAAACTCCTTCAGAATAAGGAAAACACTCTAGACTCTCTTTAACCCAAAGTAAAATTTCTAAAAAGATAGCTTTAAATTTACCTCAATAGTTGTTTCATCCTGGTCATCTTCATACATTTTCTTTGCAGCTGGTTCAAAAAAGACTTATGTTAGTTTAAGCACTGAAAACAAAGGGCTGTTTCAATCAATCCAACTATCAAATTAGACCATGCTCAAATCACTCACACTCAGGGCCTGTGCTCCCAAATTGGTGGTAATCTCAATTGGTAGGAAGAAGGGTGACTTAATAAAAAAAGATTGAAAAGTCTTTTATTAAAAAGAGTATATAACGCAAGTGCAAAAAGTTCAGAAAGTGGAAAGGAAAACTCATCTATATGCCCTACCATGCCAAGGCACTTTCATATTAATATGTACTGAGAGTGTCGGGCCCATTGGGAAGCAGCAGGGATACCTAGGGAAGCAAACAAGTTATGAGCCATGCTTTCCTGGAGTTTATATTCAAACGGGGCCGACAGATCAGCAAGCACACAAACAAAAAAATGCAATAAGGAAAAGCAGGACTGTGCACATGGCGGGTTATGGGAACATGCAGGAGAGTGCAGTTGTGTGAACTGGGATGGCTCCTTAGAGAAGCTGAGGTTAGAGGGTAAAGGGTTAGCTGCATGGAATGTGGAGGTAGGGAGGGGGATGTTTAGAAGGTTCCAGGCCAAAGGAACAGAAGCAATGTGCCCATGTTCAGGAATGAGAGACCACAAGATCCCCCAAATTAAGGCTAGATTTTGGAATGAGGAGGAGAGATGACTGACAAAGGAGTGGATGGTAAAGGTATCATGTCCTGTTTCTGCTTAATCTAAAGGACAGCAATGACAGCATTTGACAATAATGTCATTGGCTTCAAAGGTATGTAATTTTAACACAATAAAGATAAAATTTGTTTAAAATTAGCAACAATGTTATATCATTGGTATTTTTCCTTGACACAGATCATCTGTCTTTTCCAAGTTTTACATGGGAAATTAAATGTTTGATGTCTGTATAATTATTAATCATTAATTTATCATTAGGCATTTTGATAATTTATAATTTTTTTAAATAATGCTCATTTTCACCTTTTTGCTTTATTTCTTTAGAACAATGTCTAGAAACTAGAAATTATTAGTTAACTTTCATTGTGGTATAATTGATAGATATAGAAATTATATTACTTAGCCAAAGGATACAAACACTTTGTGACTTTTGAAATCTTGTGATAAATCTACTTTATTAATTTGCACTTGTATCAACAATTAAGAATATACATCAGATTTACATTTTTGGGTTAATAGGCATTATAAGTTTTTTAAAAAACCCTCACTAAATAGGTAGACCAAATATTCAGTATTTAAAAAATTTTGGCAGTGTCAAACATTTTTCCATGTCTTGTTTTTAATGTAAGTTTTCTTCTGTGAATTGTCCTTTGCTTATCTCTTGATTGATATATTTTTATTGGCATCAGAATTTTAAAATTAATTTCTGTATTTCTAAATTTACAGCATTGTTTCCCCTTCAGTGAAATGATAAATATTGAATTCTGTGATTATTTATTTCATAGTTTACTTCTTTACTATCAATTTTTTAACCTACCTCAAACTCATTTTCTAAATTTTCATCTGTGGCTTAACAGTAGTTATTAAATAATTATTTATGTTATGATTCTATTTTTATCACATGAAATGCATATGAAGAATATGTTTTTTATCAAGGTTATTCATTCAGTTTGATGATTCATATGTCTGTTGTTCAGACAATACAACACTATATTCCTTACTACTGCTATATGCAGTAGCTTGATTTTGGGGAAAGAGCTAGAAATAACCTCGTTAATCTTTTTTCGTATTATTTTGATAATTGTACATTTTTTTCTTTTAGATGAAATTTAGAATAATTTCTGACTATAATTTAGACATCTCAGTCTGAATTCACAAGTTACATATCAAATATGGAAGTTAATAAGATTCCTCAGTACCCTAGGCAGAATGCATGTGACAGTTTTGAAACACATATATGGCTACTTTATAAATGGAAAGTAAGTTCTCAGTTGCTCAAAGGAATCTAACTTACACACTGATGTGGATGGAAGAGATGGCTTATGTGAGCATACATACTTTCTAGTGCTCCTTCTGAGTTTTTTCACATCAGTGGAAGTTTGAACTATCATTACCTTTGTGAAATCTTCAGTGCCTTGGACCTGAAAATTGACAGAATAAAAGTTAATTTCTAAGTAAATATCAGATAATAAAATGTTTCTCTGGCAAGCTACTATCTCAGGCCTTCTCTAAACATCCTGCCTAAAAATTGAAAATATTAATAGATGTTAGATAGATATCCTAAAATACTTGGATATGTTGGTTTTGTGAAAGTTAGTATTCCATATACTTTCACTGATTTTTAAATATTTTGCTTCTCTTACAAATGACAAAAAATGATCAAGCATTGATCATCAATGACCCTTTGAAATTAATCACCTAGAGAGTTTTTCTATGTGGCAGAAAGTTAAAAAACAATGGACTTCAAGAAGGCAGAGAAAGACAAGTACCAAATGATTTCACTCATTTGTGGCGTATAACAACAAAGCAAAACTGAAGGAACAAAACAGCAGCAAACTCACTGACTCCATGAAGGGACTAGAGGTTACCAGAGGGAGAAGGGGTAAGGAGGGAGGGAGAAGGGGATTAAGGGTCATTATGATTAGTGTACTTAATGGAGGGGAGTCACAGGGAAGACGGAGTAGCACAGAGAAGACAAGTAGTGATTCTATAGCATCTTACTACGCTGTGGACAGTGACTGCAATGGGGTGTGTGGAGGGGACTTGATAATGTGGGTGAATGTAGTAACCACAATGTTGCTCATGTGATCCCATCATAAGATTGTATATCAATGATACCTTAATAAAAAAATAAAAAATAAAACGGGGATGATAGAAAACAAAACAAAACAATGGATTTCAAGAAATCCTTGAACCTTGTGGTTTTCAATATGCTTTGAATCATATTGGTGCCTAAATCCACAGTGAGTGGGGCTTTATGCCTAGGAAACTGGACAGAGTCGGGCAGGTTTCGGGCTGCCTTGAGAATCTCTTTCTTGGTTACTTAAATTCCCACATGAGCCCTGCTATTATATACTCAAGAATAGAGGTAGGGGGCACCATAGTTAAGAATAGTGTTTCACTTCTCATTGAGCATCACACTGGTGGCAGCTCTGTCTATTTGGAAAATATTCTTGTGACCATTTCTCACTTCAGGATTCCTCTCATCCCCACTTCATATTTTTCTTGTGTCCCCAGTCTACCTGTAAGTACTTCTATCATAGCTATAAATGTTTTATTAATATATTTATCTATTTTTTCACTTGGCTGAGAGCTTTCTTGAGGGCAAGTTTCAGGTCTCATCTGTCAGTTGCTTAAAAAATGTATGCCTAATTTGCAAGAGAATGAAACTGGCTCACTGGCTCACACCATACACTAAAGTAAACTCAAAATGGATCAAAGACCTAAATGTAAGGCATTAAGCCATGAAACTATTAAAAGAAAACTTAGGCAGGAATCTTTTGAACATGAACATGAGTCATTTTTTTTCTGGAAACATCTCCCCGGGCAAGGGAAACAAAAGCAAAACTAAACAAGTAGGACTACATCAAACTAAACAGCTCCTGCACAGTAAAGGAAACCATCAGCAGAACAAAATTGCAACCACTGTATGGGAAAATATTTTTGCACATGATGTATCTGATAAGGGGCAAATATTCAAATTATATAGAAAACTCATACAACTCAACACCTAAAAAATCAAATAACCCAATTAAAAAATGGACAGAGGACCTGAATAGACATTTTTCCAAAGAAAACATACAGATGGCCAACAGTCACATAAAAATATGCTCCACATCGCTAATTATCAGGGAAATGAAAATTAAAACCACAGTGAGATATCACCTCACACCAGTCAGACTGGCCACTATCCAAAAGACAAGAAATTACAAAGGTTGGTGAAGAAGATGTGGAGAAATGGGAACCCTCCTACACTGTTGGTGGGGGTGTAAATTGTTGCAGCCATTGTGGAAAGCAGTATGGAGCTTCCTCAAAAAACTGAAAATAGAAATACCATACGACTCAGCAAAGCTACTTATGGGAATTGACCTGAAGAAAAAAAACACTGATTTAAAAGGATATATGTGCTTCTATGTTCATTGTTGACATTATTTACAATAGTGTTGACATTATTCACAATAGCCAAGACACAGAAGCAAGTGAATTGTCCAATCCATAGATGAATGGATAAAGAAAATGTGGTACATATATACACTATTATTCAATCATAAAAATGAAACCTTGCTGTTTGCAACAATAGAATGGACCCCGAGGGTATTATGCTAAGGGAAATAAACCAGGCAGAGAATGACAAATACCATATGATTTCACTTATATGTGGCATCCAAAACAAAACAAATGAACAAAACATAAATAGATTCATAGACACAGAGAATATACTGTTGGTTACCATTGGGGAGATGTGGGGTATGAAGGTGAAGGTGTGATAAAGAGGCACAAAACCTCAGTTATAAATTAGTCACAGGGATAAAAGTACAGCATAAAGAATATAGTCAATAATACTGTAATATCTTTGTATGTTTACTACACTTTTGGGGATGAGCATTTAATAATTAGACAACTGAAAAAAAAACCCTAATTTAATTGATTCTAGGTCCTTCTTTCAATTTAATTTCTGTATTTTATTTATTTTATATGTCCCTTGATTCCTCCTGAAATGTGCCTCTCTTACTCCACCCCAACGTACACAAACACCCCCCCCACACAATACACATATGCATGCTATCTTCCGTCTTCCGTTCTTTACATGGCACAGCTTCTCATTTTGATCAGAAGAGGAACTCAACAGCTTAAAAATGAGAATCCCCTCATGACTGCGTTCGCTTCCAGAGCAGCTGGGCAAATAGCAGTGGCACTCAGTTCAGCGTGGGTCTGACAACCTTTTTAGAGCACTGTTGATAGCAACCAGAGAGAGTCCCGCTGTGATGTGTAAATGAACTCAATAGGCCCTCTTTTGCTATTTACAACTGTACCAAAACCTATTGGCCAAAACATACAGCTTGTCCTGCTTCACTGACATCCAAGGAGATTGTCTTTGGGCTATCCAATGCCAAAGCCATCAGTGAACTTGGGGTGTGGTGAGTGTGTATATGTTCATGTGCATGTGCAAGTGCATGCGTGTATGTGTTTATGGAGTGGTAGGGGAAAAGGAGAGGATGGGAAGGCAGAAAAGCAACAATTTCTAATGTTAAAACATTGTTAGACATATGATATATTGACCTGATGACATGAATCAATATTTCCTTACTTGATAGCATGGTATAGGAATTAAGAAAGGTGCCTTATAAGCTTTTCGTAAGTAACAATCTTCTATAGCTCCATGTATGAGAATGATGTAAATTACAGTTTTATTATAGATACTAGTTTTGGTGTTCCTTGGTATATCTTTTACATAAATGTTACAGAGTTTTAATTGCATCTTGTAGTTCCAATCCTATAAGAAAAACATAATTTTATAATGTACTGTTTATGAAGTTCAATATAAATTCCTAATAATATTTTAATGCAATTACATTCAGAGAGAAAGATAAGTTTACATAAATACCTCTTACCTCATAAGATAAATGTTCTCTTATTTTTCTGGCAGTAATAGAAAGTCCAAGTTTCAGCCACATTTTATATTCAATGTGAGGACAGTAGTGTTGAAAAGCTTCATACAAATGATTTTTGGAAATAAAACATGTCTGGAAAAAGGAGGATATGAATTCAACAATATTTTATTCTATGCACTTATGGGTTGGGGAAATAAGGTTTTCTCATTGATATAAAACATTAAAGCTAAGTGTATAAATTATATAAGATCCATGTTATTGCCTGGAAATAATACAAGGTGAACATTAATGAATATTTGTGCAATCTTATCATACAATAAATATTAACAGGTTACATTTTCAATAAGAGATTTTCATTATTCTTATCAATTTTGAAAAAGTAGAAAATGAAGTATCAAAATCATTTAAACTTTCTAACTGAATATGTATTTCAAAAAAATCATAATTTAAGGGGAACAAACTTTTAGGCAACAATAAAATGGCTATGCTAATAATGAACAGACTATTGGCTATTAGGAACAAGCTATTATGAATATATAAGACATTCTGTATGTTGTTTATTTCTCTTGGGTAAGTACCTGTGAATGGGATTGCTGGCTAATACGGTACATGTGTTTAACTTTTTAAGAAGCTGCCAAACTGTTTTCAGAAGGTGTAACATTTTTACTCACCAGCCATATATGGGAATTTCAGCTGCTTCACATCCTTGCCAATATCTAGTATTCACCCTTTTTATTTTTAGCCAATATAGGTGTGTAGTGATATGTCAACATGATTTTAGTTTGAATTTCTCTGAGAGCTAATGATATTGAAAATCTTTGGTGTTTATTAGTCATTTGTACATTCTTTTGTGAGGTGTCTGTTCAAATCCTTGGCCCACTTTTTAATTAGATAACTTGTCTTCTTATTTTTGAACTGTAAGAATTCTTTCTGGGTTCCTTTGTCAAGTACTTGTTCAGATAATAATACTGTGAAAAGCTCCCTGTAATCTGTAGCTTGACTTATTCATCTTCCTCCTGGTATCTTTTTTAAAAAGCAGAAGCTTTTAATGTTAGTGACATCCAATTTATCAATATTTCCTTTATGGTTAGTGCTAAGAAATCTTTGTCTATCTCAATGTCTCCTGTGTTTTCATCTAGAATTTTTATACCTCTAGTTTTTATGCTTAGGCTTATGATTATTCAAAATTAATTTTTGTGCAGAGTGTATGGGGGTTGAGACTTGTTTCTTCCACAGGGATATTTGCTGTTTTCAGGACATTTGTTGAAAATACTATTATTGTCAGAAATCAATTGGCTATATATATGAGGATCTATTTTTGGATTCTCTCTCCTGTTCCACTGATCTATGTTGTCTTAACATCAAGCCAATAACACATGGTTTTGATTATAATAGATTTATGCCTTTGAATCAGATAGTGTAGGTCATCTAATGTTATTCTTTATCAAATTTGTTTTGTCTATTCTAGGTCCTTTGCATTTTTATATAAATTTTACAAGCATCTTGTAAATTTGTACAAGAAAGTCTGCTGAGATTTTGATTGATATTGTATTAAATCTATAAATCAGTTTGGGAAGAATCAATTTCAGAATACATCTTATCAGTATTATGGCTTCTGATCCATGAATACAGTATACCTTTCTTTTTATTTGGAGCTTCTTTAAATTCTCTAGGAAATATTTTGTAGTTTTTACTATAGAGAGCTTGCATGTCTTTCAGTAACTATTCCTATGCACTTTATGTATTTTAATGTTTTTTGTAAAAGGAGTTCAAAAATTTTATTTCCAATTGTTAGTTGCTAGTATGTGAATACACAATTGATTTTTGGAACTTTGAGTTGTGTCTTGCCACCTTGCTAAATTCACTATAAATTCTAGTTATTTTTGGTAGAGTCTTTGTGATTTAAAAAACGTAAATATGTCATCTGCAGAGACAGTTTTAGTATTTTCTTTGTGATCTTTATGTCAGTTTGTTTATTTTTCTAGCCCTCTTGCACTAGCAGGGACCTCCAATATAATATTGAATGGCAGTGAGGAGAGTGGATCTCCTTGCCTTATTCCCCGTCTTAGGATATTGTTGTTTTTTTACTAGTCATTATGTCAGCTGTAAGGTTTTTCATAGATGCTCTGTATTGAATTCACACAATTCCCTTTGATTGTTAATTGCTGGATAATTTTTATGGTGAATAGGTTGAATTTTGTCAAGTTCTTTTTGTTTTTTATCTACTGAGGATCTTATATGACTTTTCCTCTTTTTTTCTGATAGTGTGGTGAAATCATACTGATTTTCAAATGTTGATTCACCCTTGTACTCCTGAAATAAACTCTATTTAGTTTTGTTGTCTTATCTTTTTTATATAGCCCTGGATTCAATTTGCTTGTATTTTTTTAAGGATTTTTTTTACATCTATGTTCATGTGGGATATTGGCCTATAATTTTCTTTTCTTGAGATGTTTTCTCAAGGTTTAGTATTTGATTACATTGGCCCCATAAAATGCACTGGGAAGCTTTTTCTTTTCCTGTTTCCTGAGAAGGGTTCTATAATATTGGAACTGCTTTGTCCTTAAAGGTTTTCTAGAACTCAGCAGAGAAATCATCTGCATGGAGTTTTCTTAGTGGGGACTATATAATTAAATTTGTTTTGAAGTTTCTAATCCTTGAGTTGGTTTGGGTATGTGTGTATGTTTTTAAAGGCAATTTGTCTACTTCATCTAAATTCTCAAATTTATTTGCATGAGTTTGTTTTTCATATTCCTTTTTAATCTTTGTGGTATCTTTGCAATTCCTGATACTGGTAATGTGTGTGTATGTTTGTGTTCTTTCTCTCTCCTTCCCTTCTTTTCTTTCTCAATTTCTCTATCCTATCATTAGTCTTGTTAAAGTGGTTATCACTTATTAGTATTTTCCATTAATAAAACTTTTGGCTTTGTGAATTTCTCCTATTTTTTTGTGTCCTATTTCATTGATTTGTGTCTGGTCCTTAGTATTTATGTCCTTCTACTTTTTTAAAAATTGAAGTATCACTAATATACAATCTTATATTCGTTTCAAGTATGCAAAACAGTAGTTCAACAGTTACCCATATTATTAAGTCCTCACCCCTGCTAGTGCAGTAACTATTTCTCAATATAGCAAGATGTTACAGAATCATTGGCTATATTCTCCATGCTGAACTACTATCTCTTTGATCAACTTATATTATGATTGAGAATTTTTGTACCGCTTTATCCCCTTCCCCCAACCCCTCCTGCATGGTAACCACAAGTCCCTTCTCAGTGTCTATGAGTCTACTGCTATTTTGTTCATTTTGTTTTGTTTTTATATTACACAAATAAGTGAAGTTATATGGCATTTGTCTTTCTATACCTGTCTTATTTCACTTAGCATAGTACCCACTAGGTCCATCCTTGTTTTTGCAAATGGAAGAATTTCTTTTTTTATGGCTGAATAATATTTCATTGTATATATGTATTACATCTTCTTTACCCATTCATATATTGATGGACACTTAAGTTGTTTCCATAACTTAACTATTGTAAATAATGTGGTGATAAACATAGGGGTGCATATATCTTTTTGAATTCAGGGATTTTTGTTTTCTTCAGGTAAGTTCCTAGAAATGTAATTACTGGGTCATGTAGTATTTCTTTATTTTTCTTGGGGAAACTCCATACTACTTTCCACAGTGGCTGCACCAATTACATTCCCACCAGCAGTGTAAGAGTTCTCCCTTTTCTCTACATCTTAACTAACACTTGTTATTTCTTGTCTTTTGGATAGTGGCCATTCTGACTAGTGTGAGATGGTATCTCACAGTGGTTTTGATTTGCATTTCCCTGTGATTAGTGATGCGGAGCATCTTTTCATATGCTTGTTGGCTAACTGTATTTCTTCTCTGGGAAAATGCCTGTTCAGGTTCTCCCCTTCTATTTTTTTATATTTAACTTGTTCTACACTTTCTAGATTATTGAAATTTTCATTGTAAAATATTGTGTAATTTTTCTTGTGACTTTTTTCTTTGACCCAGTATGTTATCCTGAAGGATATTGTTTAATTTCAATATTTGGAAATTTTTCTCGGTATCTTATTTGTTTCTAATTTAATTCCAATGTGGTCAGAGAACATACTCTGTAACAGATTTTCATCTTTTGAAATGTATTGCCATTTCCTACACATCAGCATAATGGTTTATCACAGTGAACATCTCATGTTGTATTCTTCAGTTGTTGGATGTATTAGTGCATAAATGTTGCTTATGTCAAGGTTTTTGAGAGTGTTTTTCAGATCTTCTATACCCATACCGATTTTTTAAATCTTTTCTTTTAATTACTCTGAGTGGCAAAATCCCTAACTATGATTATAGATCTATTTATCTCACCTGTTAGTCATGTCAGCATTGGCCATAAGAATATTGCACTCATGTTGTTGAAAGTATACATATTTAAACTTAAATGTGTTCTTGAATTTCTCCTTTTATCATTATAAATATTGCCTTCTTTATCTTTGGTAATAATTCTTGTTTTGAAGTTTAAATAGTCAAATATTAATATAATACATAATCTTCCTTATGCTTCCTATTTCAATTCACTGCATCTTAAAAAACTAATGTGCATATCTTGCAGACAGGATATTTTTGTAATCCAAGATGACAATCTCTGCCTTTCAATTGAGGTGTTTACATCTACATTTATTGTAAATATTGATATGACTTGGCTTAAGCCTACCATCTATTTATTTTCCATTTATCCTTTCTTTTTTGGCCCATCTTTTTGAATCAGTCTCCTTTCATGCCTTCTTCTGATTTAATCTGATATTTTAATATCCTATTATTTCCCCTGTTGGTCTCTAAGGTGTATCTTTTAGTTTTCTTAAATTGTTCCTCTAGTGCTAACAATCCAAAGCACAGTACCGCCTCATATTTCATACACAATCCTTTATACTTCCTACCCCTATCTTCTTTCCTGACAATTCACCATTCTTACTCTTGCGTCACATTTTAATACCTTTATGAGAGAATAATTCCATTCACACATCACCATCTTTTATTTCATATTTTTTAGTCTCTGTGTATTATAGGTTCCTTTTATAATGTTATTATTATTTTTTTGCTTTAAGTAGTCAGTTGTATTTTAAGGAAATTATAAGAAGAATCAAACTTAATTGTTTATATTTACTTACCTATTTACTATTTCTGGTATTCTTCTTCCTTACCTCTAGGACTTACCTTCCACCCAAAGCATACTGTTTAGTATGCATTATAGTACAGGTCTGATGGGGAGGAATTCCTTCAACTTTCATTTATCCAAGTTTACTTTTTTCTCTTCACAATTTAAAATGGTGTTCTATTGTTCCCTGGCCTTCATTGTTGCTGATAAAAAATGAGTGATAATTCTTTTCTGTGTTCCCAGCATACTATGTTGTCTTTTTACTTTGGCTGCTCTCCAGACTTACCTCTGTTTTTTTAGCATGTTGGTATGTGTGTTGCATGCATTTGTGTGTGAGTTATTTAGGATCCTCTCAGTTTCTTGAAATTGTAAGATAAGTTTTTCATCAATTTGAGAACATTTTGGTAATTATTTAGAAAGTATTTTTTTCTGCCCAGTATCATTTTCTTCTCTTTCTGCAAATTCTTTTATACACATATTACACTATTTGATGTTACACCACAGACCTCTGGAGTCTCTGTAAAGCTTAAAAGTCATGGTTGTTTTTGTTTTTCATGCTAGATTATTTCTATTATCTGTATTCCAGTGCACTGACTCTTTTATACTGTCATTTTGATGAGGTCTTTTTAGTTCTACTGACTCCTTTTTTATATTCCCATAGTATGGGGATATTTCCTGTCTTTTCTCTCATTAAGAATATGTTTTCCTTCAATCATTTCAACATATTTTCCTTTAGTTCTTTGGATCTATTCTTAATAACTCTTCAATGTCTTTGTCTAACCCATATTCTGGTCATCTCAATGTTGGTTTCTATTCATTGCCTCCTTTTTTTCACCCTATAGTTCACATTTCCATGTTACTTTGCTTGTTTTGTAACTCATGATTGCTGATGATACATTGTAGAGATTCCAACCTCTGTTATCTTTCGCTGAAAATTGTTGATTTTTGTTGTGGTAGGCAGTTCTTTTATTGTCTGATCACCTTTAGCTTGTAGGCCAAGTTTTATGATTTTCTTGCTTTTGATCAGTAGAAAACCCTAAATATTTTCCAAGAATATGTAACTTGGTGGTACTTAAACTCCAAACTCTGTCTCTAGTTCTATTGTTCCCTGGCCTTCATTGTTGCTGATAAAAAATGAGTGATAATTCTTTTCTGTGTTCCCAGCATACTATGTTGTCTTTTTACTTTGGCTGCTCTCCAGACTTACCTCTGTTTTTTTAGCATGTTGGTATGTGTGTTGCATGCATTTGTGTGTGAGTTATTTAGGATCCTCTCAGTTTCTTGAAATTGTAAGATAAGTTTTTCATCAATTTGAGAACATTTTGGTAATTATTTAGAAAGTATTTTTTTCTGCCCAGTATCATTTTCTTCTCTTTCTGCAAATTCTTTTATACACATATTACACTATTTGATGTTACACCACAGACCTCTGGAGTCTCTGTAAAGCTTAAAAGTCATGGTTGTTTTTGTTTTTCATGCTAGATTATTTCTATTATCTGTATTCCAGTGCACTGACTCTTTTATACTGTCATTTTGATGAGGTCTTTTTAGTTCTACTGACTCCTTTTTTATATTCCCATAGTATGGGGATATTTCCTGTCTTTTCTCTCATTAAGAATATGTTTTCCTTCAATCATTTCAACATATTTTCCTTTAGTTCTTTGGATCTATTCTTAATAACTCTTCAATGTCTTTGTCTAACCCATATTCTGGTCATCTCAATGTTGGTTTCTATTCATTGCCTCCTTTTTTTCACCCTATAGTTCACATTTCCATGTTACTTTGCTTGTTTTGTAACTCATGATTGCTGATGATACATTGTAGAGATTCCAGCCTCTGTTATCTTTCGCTGAAAATTGTTGATTTTTGTTGTGGTAGGCAGTTCTTTTATTGTCTGATCACCTTTAGCTTGTAGGCCAAGTTTTATGATTTTCTTGCTTTTGATCAGTAGAAAACCCTAAATATTTTCCAAGAATATGTAACTTGGTGGTACTTAAACTCCAAACTCTGTCTCTTACTGTGGAGCCTGTAAGGGTTTGCTTTGAGGATTTCTTCGGAAAGATCAAGAGCAAGCCTTACTTTAGAGCATGGTATTCATCCTCTACTATTCTTTCCTGTCTCACCTGCATGCCTGTGCTTTTAAACAAGTCTCTCCTTTCTGGCAAGGAAGAACTTAATTCCTTAATTCCTAATACTCCTTGACCTCTAATATCTCTGTTCCATTCCTAACAATCTGGTAAATTTAGTTTTGTCTCTTCCTGTGTAGGTGCAGCCCATCCCTCAGCCAAGGGCTTTTGGTGAACCACCACGCAGACTCCCTCTGTGTGACTCCTCCTCCTAGGACTGACTCTATAGGTGGTAACAGCTTTAGCTCCCACAACTTCGGATCTCTCCCTTCTCATTTAGCAGCATCACCATCTTCTGCTTGGATTCTTGCTGTGCTGTGGTTGGGAATCATCCTAGGCAGATGGTCAGGGTGGATGTTGGGCTTCTTTTGTGAATTTTTTCTTCTCTCAAGGTCCCAGACTTACATTGCCTGTTTTCTAATGGCAGCAAACATTTGCCTCATATATTTGGTCAACTTCTATGGCCACTTTGGTGAGCATGCTAGTTTTCTACCAGTAACTCCATCATAGCCAAAAGAAGAAGGCTAGAGTATTTTCATGCAAATCCTAGGTATCAAATAATTTTACTTATAAATATTCGAACATGAATCAATGAATGATAGAGACATTTTAGCATTTTCCCCTTGCCTTCTGCCATCCTAAATGCCAGTGATTTGTTGAAACAAAACAAAACAAAACAAATCATTTGTCCTGTGGATCTCCCACATTCTGTATTTAGCTAATTATTCCCTTCTGGTATCAATTAAGTTGTTTCTCTTCTTCCCATTTTTTTAAATATGCTGGTTAGATCTAGAGGCTTCAGGTTTCCTTTCTTCTTGTGCAAGAAGACTTCAGGGACGGTGCTGCATCATGTCATGAAATATATGGTACTAAGTTTTCCCACTTCTAGTGGTGCTAAGATCGTCCTTAGATGGTGTCAGTCTGGACTTTTCATTATAAAGTTACCATTAACATTCCACTTAGTAGCTTTAGCATCGATTGTTGGTTGTTGTGTAGATCCATCATTTCATTAGGGATGGAAAATGGAGATGTTCTAATTCTCTCATTCTACATTTGTTGGCAGGAATTCTTCTCTACAGAAGAATTATTTTTTTTCAAATTTTTTGGTTATCTCAAAAGAATTCATTGAGGAAAGACAGGGTACGTGTTTAATTCTTCATCTTTTAAGAAAAAAATTCATTTTTAGAGTAACAATTTGATATCCCAGAAATCTTATTGGAAACTTTAATTTTTTATCATTATCAATATATCAAATATATTTATGGGTTTCAATTGTTTGTAGTCATTGTTTATTGTGAATTCAAATTGAGCCAGTGGGAGCCCCTGTTGCTTCGAGAATTTGGTCCTCTTTGCTTCTACTTTTCTATTAATATATCCTAGCTCTCTGACTTTTTCTATTCCGTACTCTCCAACTTATGATATTGATAGTTAATATATTCATCTAATTTCCCCAAGAGACACCTCATATAACTAGTTTTTCTGGTTAAATATTTCTTTCAATATCATAGGTTAACTTTGAAAGCCATTTTACCAGGACATCATGCTGGGTAAATAAAATTCTGTAACAAGTTTTGTTTCTTTATCATTCCTATTTAAAAAAATTTTTCACCAGACTGTAAACATATACAAAGTACAGATGTACCCTGGAATTTGATACTAGACATTTAACAAGATATGACGTTTTCTCACCTCCACTACAGTTTTGCAGGTAGCAGAATATTTCATGGGAGTATTAGTTAAACAGTTTATCTCTCCTATTATTTCCCCACTGATCAAATAGTCTGTGTAAGTTATCTCATAATCTTTCTCCTCTGACTCCCAGAGTATTTCGTCAATTCTCAAATCTGGCTTTGATCTTTGAAGCTGTTCAGGAACAAAGAGAGAAATACATATGCCAGTTAATTACCAAAACAATCTAAGTTTTGGCTTTTTTCCTTTGGTTTAAATAATTTTAATATGTACATACTGCTTTGAGAATACTTATTACTTGTATCTTTTTAAGCAAGTTTATTAAATTAGCAATGATTTATAAACAAAGTCTTAAATTCCCAAAGTCAAAATTCTTAAATACAACTTTCTGACTCCTCCCACTCAGCCAACATAAATCTACCTTAGAACCCAGATAAATGTAAGATGAATACAACTGACATTATATTTTCCATCTTAAATATAATCATTGATGGTTTATTATGTATGGGAAAGTAAGGCTTAAAAAGTGATGGATAATGTTATCTGTAGTGTCTGGACAAGGAAATGACTATTTGGGTGGTAGCTGCTGTTCTAATAAAAAGGAACACATGCAGTTCTTAACATGAAAAACTATTAATTCTCACTTTTATTAAGTTTTTAACTAATGTTCATGAGCACATTTATAAATACTGCCTTACCTTTATCATGCCTGAAAGTATTATATAAATTCCTTTGGGCTCATCACCTTCTTCAAATACATCATTTTCACAATCAAATGTTAAAATTCTGGCTCTTTCCTAAAAAGTATCACCAAATATGTAAGCTATAAACAATAATTTAGCCATTATTGGGGATTTTGAAGTTTATTTCTTAATAAAAGATTTTATATTTTTAAAGTAAATATCCTTTAAGATCTGAGATTTTGTGTTAGTAATAAATTTGTAAAAAAATAGGAATTATGAACAGTAAACAGAGGGAGGTAGATATTCATAGATGCATATAGCTTCAGAAGGGGTATTTATACATGGATTAGGAAAGAAAGAATCTAATGTAGGAATAAGAATGTAATGGAAGGATGAAAATATTTCATCTGGAAATAATTGGGACAGATGCAGGCTAATGGCACATATATGTCTTATGCTTACTCATGTTCTAAATAGCTCTTAAAGTAGCTAAAAATTCATTCAAACTACTTTAAACAAGT